AATGCCCCCCCAGATTTAATCTTTCTCGCTATCCATGGAGTTCACCATCACGTTCCTTTTATTCTTCTCTCAGGAGGTTATCGTAGCTTTTAAGGGGGGAGAGCTACATGTTTGATCTGATCCCTCAAATTCAGTCAAGGCTGATCAGATCCCCTGAGATTGACCCCCTTCCTACAGCAAGTTGAGATCTTGTCTGATTTGGAATATAGAGCCAAGGATCCAGTCATGTATTTAGAGAGAAGAGTCCAGGAGGTCTTGAAGGGGGTGTCTGAGATGATTATCTCATCGAAGGGTAAAGAGCGGAGATAAACGACGGAAAAATGTATCAAGAGGCGGGAGTCAACAGTGACAAATTTCTTGATTTCAAAAAGGAAACACACATACATTCTGGTGTGCTGTTTGTATTTTGATCCAGATTCATGAACTGCTTTCTTATGTCGCCGGCAGGTTGCCTCAGATCAGAGCTTTCACTTTGAAAAGACATGCTCCGAGATGTGTGGGAGCGAGTATCCCGCGCAGCTTCTTGGTTTAATTTTCCAGAGTGGGAAAAAAAAAAAGTGCGAATCTATTCTGAAAGTGCTGCGGGATGCAGACAGATCAATTTGATATTGGTGAAGAGAAAAAAGGCTGCCTTACCCCCTGTGAGCGCTAACATGATGTCGAAGCAGCTAGCCTTTGATGACATTGACTGTACTCATCTCCTTCATTCCTATTAAATTTGTTTAACCTCAATAGTTGAATAATTAATAGGATTTGATGAAGTCAATCAAATCATTGTGCGTTCTGTTTGTAATTAATCTTTTACCAGGTTAATAAAAATACAGTTTCTAGATCCATATTAAAGCTGCTGTCAGGAACTTTTGGTAAACTTTTGAGGAACTTCATAAAAAGTTGTCAGTGCTGGCTTCAGTCAGTTTATCAACCAGTTAAAAAAAAAAAAACTCCCCACAGACGCTTTAATAATGCACAACAGTTCTCAACAGTGTCTTGATCTGGGAATCAAATCAATACAATGAAATACGATCTTGACATGTAGATTAATTATTCAAATTAAAGCTGCAGCGACGAACGGGGCATCACACCTCTGAGCATGATGGTGCTCATGGGGGGAAGGCAAGTGTAAGGTTGCTGTGACGACTGTTATGTATGTTTGTAGGGACATGATGCATAAGCCCAAGAAAGCCTATTTTTAGAAGGAATTGGATGGATTTGTGAGAAATTGTGGGCGTGGCTTTCACACTCAGTTTGCCCAGCAAACTAACAACACTTATAATAACCGTATTAAGCTCCATTTGGCGACTCTGCTAACCATGCTACCCTTTTAAAAAAGTACTTCCTGTTTGATAGAGAATGACGCTTCACCACAGTAACACCATTTGGTGCTAATGCTGCGTTCCAGTTACCTCAGAAGTTGGATATCGGAGCTGGGAATGACGTTACACCCAAATTGACAGCGATCCGGTAATCAAGTCGGAAAACCAAGATGGACGCCTACAGTTAACCACTGTTAGCTGTTGTTTACAATTGTCAGCTGTCGTTGGCCTTTGTCAGTCGTTGTTAGCAAAAACAAAACAGAAGTGCTAATAAATAAAACATTACGAGAGCTTTCACTGTTACTCCTTACTGTCAATGCACTGCGCTGCCATCTTGAATTATGATGTTGTTGTCAAGTCTGGGTTGGCGAGGATCGTCCGACTTTCCGAGTCAGAAATCCGACTTCTAGATGAATTTTCTGACTTGGAGCTTGAAAATCCCGACTTTCAAGTACAACTGGAACGCAGCATAAGTTTTGTGACCTTTATGGCAATGAGTAGAAAGTCTTGGGATGATTTGACAATGTTTACTTGGAAGCAGTAATTTCCTGTTGCCAGTAGGTGGTGCCATTGTTCATGGGAAATTTCCACAGATGCTGCCATTCAAAAGCATAGAGGCAGTGGTATCATTAATTTCCATTACAGCAGCGACAGGAAGCAGGAAAACACTGGGGCAAAAACACTGTGCAAAAAAGGACAAAATAGCAAGCTCCGAATGAAACACAGTAAAAACCTTGCTTTTCTTCCACATTAATTCAGGTCAATACCTGGTAACTGCTTTGGATATCTTCATAAAGTCAATTCTTCTAAAACTTTACAGGCACCAAACTGAGAATGTGGAATAAAATTAAACAGCAGCATGAATCCTGGTTTATTTTAGGAACTACGAAGGGGTTCAACTCTGTGGAATATATTATTTAGAAAGCACCCCCGGCTGCTTGTCATTGATTTTTATTTGCACAGCTAAATAGTTCTATTTAAACAAGACATACATACCTTCTTTTCTAAATGACACTTCAGTTGGAGGATTATAACATTTGAGAGGAGGATCCTGTGTGGACCATCCACTTGACTGTCACCTGTCAGCCATGAATTATTCAAGAAGCATTACAAATATCAGGCAATATCATTCTGGCAAACACAGGAGAGAGATATTCATATTTCTCATTTGACTCTTGACCTTTTCACAGGCCTGTTCCTCACTCATTTCCCATTGCTTCTGTATAAACCAATAAAGTCTGACGGACAAAGCCTTGATCAAACAGCAGCACCTGGGGAGGCGTCAGGAGAAAAGGAGAAATTCTGGAGATGAGACTGTCTCACAGTGGCAAGCACTAGCTTGGCAAGTAAAAATAGCTGTAATAGCCTCAGGTAAGTTTACTGCCTGAAACTCCCCAAACTGATTTGAGGTACAGCAGTGAGTGTAGGTGTGAAAATGGCCTCGAGAGTCGTTAAGCTGCTTTGAGGGAGGCAGCTGAGAGGATGCAGAGAGGGAAAATATGAAGCAGCATGATTGCTTAACCAAACACTCACACCTATCAGGGCAGTTTGAGGAATTTTTTATTCCTTTATTGTGATGTGAAGCTGGATTACAAATGGGTGGAAAACAGAGAAGAAGACAAAAACTGTGCCGTGCCTTTAATTATGCAAATCAAATGATTAACACTGACTCCTCAAAATGAATACAAAATAAAGAATTCGCCTCTTCTACACTGTGTAAAGACAGAGAAATGGGCTAATCCGACCAAAACTGTTTAAATAACCAGGCTGTAAATTTAATGTAAAAACTGACAATTTAACACAGGTGTTGATGGGAGTTCCTTTACTTTTCCAACCAGCCTCAAGTGGACACTTGAGGAACTGCAGTTTTTTATAGCTTTTTATTTGAACCTGTCATTGAACATAGACTGTATGTAAAATGGACGCCGTCTGCCTCCTCGCTGGGTGAAGCCACTCCGGGAACAGCACCCTCTGGTGTCGGGCTGCAGTATAGGTCATAAATCCCGCCTAAGCCAGCAAAGCTTGTGGGGCTGTGGTAAGACTGGTTTGTCGTCTTTTTTCTGTACAGCTCCATTTTTAAAAGTTATTAGGGGGTTCATGTTTTCTTTGATTGACACCTGATACAGCCTATGGGCATTCAGGGATTGCGTAGCTCACCCGGTGACTCTCCCGCCGAATGCGCACAATGCTACTGCGCAGCGCTGGTTTCAGGAAATGAAGAAAAATCCCTGAAATACCGAGACCTTTTTTGCTTCAAATCCGTATACGGGCGGGAGGCGGAACCAAGTTGTCCATAGTATATACAGTCTATGGAAAAAAAGCTTTTGTGAGTACATTTTTTAATCATGACATCAGATCCTTTTGTGTGATTTTCCCCTCCCTTCGCTGCCATCTCTGTGCCCCACTCTCCGCTCAGGTGCTGTCTGTGTGCCAACAATAAATCTGCCAAATAACAGGAATGATAACATGACAGATCCGTGTAACACTATTTTTATATTCATTCTAATTAATGTCCAAAACAGTCCTATCAATTATGTTTTTAAAGTTTCCATTAACATGCGGGTTAAAACACAGCGATCCCAGAAAAGATGACACCTTTCTACTAATTAATTTGTCCCATTACACTGACCATCTTGAACCCCTCGTAGAATCATTTCAAGTGTTTGTTTATCCGAACAAACACTCATGACTTTAAAGTGAAAACTGCTAATGGATTTTCTTTTTTACAAACCAATTATCATCATCATGCATGTATGCTGGAGAAAACATGTTACCCCTCACAGAAAAACGTGCAGTTTTACAGTTTCTTATCCTTTATTTTTTGTTGTTTTTTGCATGACCAGCACTACTCTCGTATCCGCTGCCCACCTGTGGAGTGGCAGGGCCTCACATGATGGTCAGCCTCACTCAGTATTGTCTGGCTGGAAGCAAAGGGGGCACTGCCGGGGCCTGAGCTCCTCACAGGGGGTCAGGATGTGTGAGGGCTTGCATGATGAGAGCAGCGGGAACCCACAATTTTACTCCAGCCATTATAACCCCTTTCACACTGCGCCGCTGCCCGCTCCTGTGTATGGGTGGGAGTTTGTGAGCGAGTGAATGAATGCATGGGTGAATGATGGAGTGAAAGGGAGCAGATGCAGAGTCAACTACTCATTTTTAGCAGCTCCTTTAAATACAGTAGAAATGCATTAAAATACACACCAAACAGGATTTAAAAAGGCCTATCTTATGCTTTGTAACAAGCGTAAATCACATATTTTTGCACCACAAGACAAGAGAAAATAGCTAAGAGACACACAAGGACGTAAATACTCAACTTTGGACCTTTCTTCCTCTCTTTTATTGCTTTCTCTAAACCTTTATAGGAGCCAAGGGACGCAGGAGGAAAATAATTAGCCCAAAATTATTGGGGAACTTAAATGCAATTAGGTGGAGATAATACATGGGTGACCCCTGCTTAATCCCTTCTTACTGAAGTACTACCTGAATAATAATGTCAGAAAATGTCCACAGGAAAATAAAGACTTTAATGATAACATAATTCAAGCCAAAGAAAGTGGAGTACTACATAGTGATAGGATGAAAAAGGAGCTTGTGTGCAGACATGTGCATTTAGTTGAATTTCTTGTGGTTGGACTAATCTACTTAGATTCTTACGTTCTTAATCATGTACATGCTTCAGACAGACTCAAACTGGTCTGTGCATGCTCTACAGGCTTGTACTTGGAAGTTGAAATGTATTGAAGGGAGTCAGTTGGTAAACAAAACCTCAAAAAGAAGAAGAAGGCGAAACTGGTGTTTTGAAAATGTACGCAAGCTAGAGATCGCCCCATGGTATTTAACTGAAACTGGGCAAATCACCAAGTGGATATCCCTCGTTGATAAACCAGCTCTTATTTTTGACAAAGACAGTAGTCCAGTTAAAAAACATCTTAACTGTGCATGTAGACATAATGAGTATCTGGCTTACTCAGGTAAGAAGGTTTGGCAACAAGTGGAAAAAGCTACCAAGACTATTTAGAGGAAAGGTAGGGCCTTATGCTCCATGGAGGCCCCACAAAGGTTAGCTTCGATGTTTCAGTGGAGAGCCCTTGAGGAGCTAAATAAACCGCCTTAATGGGTGGAACACTGTCCAGTTGAGACACCCCCAGGATCCCTGATCGCTGTCTGAACGCCTTGACCAATTCGAGCCCATATATTTCCCACTGGGGTGCCAAATAGGTCCGAACACCAATCTACTTCAGAGCCCTCCCTGAACCTATTCCCAATTGAAGCCCATCCAATCAAAGTATGGTCTCCTACTTGAGTGTGTTGACTGGTTAACTCAATCCACAGCTTGCCTGGATATATCACAGTGAAAACAAGACTCTGCACCAAGCCAAGAAAGAGTCTCAGACAAAAGCCACATATTTACCAGGATGATATTGACATTCTCATCTACCTCTGACCAAGAAAACTGCTTGGCTAATTCCCAAAATTGGTAAAATGTCACTTTGAGATTACCTTTTATTCTTGTGGTACGCCTCTGGACCGCTAGGAGTAAAATTATTTGTGGTAAATGGACTAAATCTGTCTTGTGCTATCAAGTTGTACCCCGCTAAACGTTTGCAACAAGCATCAAACCGTGACACAGCCGCCTTTCCTGATAAAATTAGCTCCGTGATATAAGATGTCGTGTGTGAAATGAAACTAAGAATCATATCGCTTTTATGTTAAACTCCCATTGCTCTCTCTATCTCGTAACAGGATTCATTACCAACCTCGGGCCATTCTGGATTCAGCGGGTCAGCACGGAGCTGCTTTATACTCCTCAGAGAAAAGGGCTCAAGCTCGTAAAAGCTTTATGCTGTTGCACTGGCCGACATTTGGCATTTACATTTATCACCAAGTTGGGTTAATTAAACTCAACCCATCCACCATCTTGATTAAACAATAGTAAATAAAGGCCCTATATTCCCTCGCAGAAGAGAGTGATGTCAGGGTTGAAGGCTTGTAGAATAACACTGAACGGTTAGACTACACAGACACACAAATACGCATGTGTACAGCATAAATTAGAGTCGGGGGTTTCTAACAACAGCTCAGCAAATGGATTAGAAAGATGTCGACAGGATTCAGAGAGACTGAGGGTGACGTGCTATAAACAAAGCCATTAGTTCGACAATTACATTGCACGTCTTTTGTCTTTCAACCCACTTGGTTGTGTGTTTCGTGAAAGAGTTGCTTTTTCTCACCAAACTTTGTTCATCAGATTTCAAGAGGCATTTTTCAAATAATCATTACAGACTAGATAACGCCGAGCAGGTAAACAAAGTCTTCCCTAACCTCTCATCCCTCAACCCACCTCTGTGCTTGGCCTTAAAATTGATCCTAATGACTCACAGCCTGTGCTGGGACTGTTTGTTGAAATGTGGGAGTTACAGTAATTGCCTCGCCATTAGAGTGATCAAGATTGTTTTATTTAATTTTTCTATGAGCTAATTCAGAGAATCATCACTTTCACTGCTGTGAGAATCACTTCTGTTCTACAGAGGCTGCTGTTTTTCCCTAATCAATCTGTCGTAAGTAGCTTACTTACTCATTGACATGTTGGGCCGTACAAAATTTATGGCGACAAATTGTTGTTTCTTTCTCCAGCCACCTTTCATAAATAAAGTTAAGTTGTTAGCAGACTTGGTAGCCAGCTGAAGCTTATATTTCTGGTTCTGACTTCTCTCTAAATCAGGGGTGGGCAATTAATTTTCACATTGGGCCACATGAGAAACCTGAACTGTGTTGGAGGGCCGAACCAACAATAACTTCAACTTCAAATCAGGGGGGTTCACACATACAGAAAAGCAAGCCTAAATAAGCAACTACTAGTTAAAAACAAGCCCCAAAAAAGCGCATCCGCGACTCACGAGTTTTACAAGCGACTTCTGAGAGAAACAAGCCTAAAGTCTTCTATAATAAGCAAACTTGGCAACCATAAGGCGTCTAAGTATATTTTGCTGATGTTTAAACTTGTCTCTGTTCACAAATGCAGATCTACAATGTACACACAGGCATCCAAACGGAACAACACTTATTGCATGTTGATGATTTGTGTGATGGACCTCATGAAGGGCCAGGCAGAGATATCCAAAGGGCCGGATGTAGCCCTCGGGCCGAAAAATGCCCAGGTCTGCTCTAAATAGTCAACTGTTCCTTCAAATATTGCTAAATATTCAGTATTTCGAAGATTCAAAGATAGAGATGAAGATAAAGATGTAGAGTTCTGGAGCCAAGCTAGCTTAAACCGCTAATGTAGCTAAAGCTAGGTGATTGAATTTGTTAGTAATCATGACAAATCCAAAATTTGATATTTAAGTAATATACCTGGGCCATTTGAATTCAATTGAGAGGGCAAAACAGCAGATGAATAGACAATAACTTATGGAGATGAAATAAAAGTTGTCCTAGAGATGATCCCTGAGGAACACCTCAATTTCAACCAGCTGTAATTTACATTATCATGCCTTCTTCAGTTAAAAAGCGATGATATGATTTAAACTATAGCAAGTTGAGGGCCTAACGTGTAGATAAAAATATACCATCACATTCAGCACAGATCAAGGCATAAAGTTCTTATCTAGTATCAAACTGAGCCCCCTCTCAAAGAAAAAGTCCTTGAAACGGCAGATTCGATTTGATCTGAGCAGTAAAGGTGGTTTTTATAGGTATTGAACGAACAGCTCGACTGATTTGTTGACAAATCTCTTTAGAAATGTCAACATCTATAGCGTCAAGCCACTGGTCAAAGGAGTGTCTTCCTATTTTGAATTTAAAGAGAGCTGAAGCTGGAGCTGAAGAGCCATAACATGACTGATAAACTGTGGGCTTTCGTTGCAAATTTTCACATTAAGCCTCAACTTAGAGGACGAAAATAGAACAAGCAGTGAAATCTCCACCATGACAGGCACTGAGTATTTGCCTTCATGCGTGATATAACAGTCTACCAAGTCTTGTAACTCCAACAAAGTAAAATCAACTCAGTGTTATTTTGTTTAGCCTGCCACTTGTCATTCTTTCTCTGTCATTTACTCGCCTCACTGTTTTTTCTCCCCCAACAACAAGCACAAAACATTGTCACTGGACCATCACTGACTCGGCTCAAATGACTTCTGAAATTGCTTTGTTTCCCCTTCCCTGCACACACATGTCACAGATGTTGTTTGGCTGACAATGGCTGCATGCCAGAATCAAGCGTGACGTGCCATTAGCAATTGAGCTGACTGTGCGTGGTTTGGTCTTTCTTTCATTATTCATTTTTGTCTGAGGGCACAGAGTAATGCAGACTGAGAACTGAGGCTTTTGTTGTAGTATTTTGCATTTGCCCTGTTGTGAACTCGCACAGAGCATGATCTACTGTAGTGGTGAGTCACTCTCATCCTGTGCGGCTGGATTGAATGCAAACAAAAACAGCCTTTAGGGCTGAGATGAATTAAAGAGAATTCAACTCGAGTATATTCACAATTTAAGTGATTATGTACAAGAATATTAACAAGACGCAATATGATCCAGTATGATGCACAACACAATGAGATACAATATAATACAACATAGTTCAGTGCATCAGAATATGATGCAATGCTACAGAGGACACAATATGATTCAATACTACACAACATGATACAAAAAAAGATGCAAAAAAAAAAAAAGGTTCAATTTTCCATAGCACAAGTAATACAACACGATTAGATAAAGAGCAAGAGTACAATAACAGTACAATACAATGCAAAAAGTTATGATAGAATAGAATTAGACGTGAAGATAAGATAAAGATAATATAGTTAAATTAAAATAGGATTTAACACAATAAGATAGGATACAATACAATGAGAGATTACACAATACAGTAACATGCTGTTAAAATGAGATGAGATAAGATGAAGCACAATTTGATATCATACATTATAATAAGATACTGCACTATACAGTAAGATTAGGTTCAATACAATAGAATAAAAACAATACAGTACAGTGGAATAAGATTTTATATAATACAAAATGATACATAATGATAAAAACAGTAAGATACCGTATGATAAAATAAGATATGATACAATACAATAAAATACATTTCAATACATGACAATGCCTTATGAGTGAGTGAGCAACACAACACAATAAACTGTTGTGTAATAGAATTTTATATGATTTACAGTAATTAATTTAGATTAGATACAATACAGTTAGATACTGTAAAAGTCTTACTGTAAAATACAGTAAGACTGTATACCATACCGTACATTTGGATACAGAACAACACAAAGAAGATATGATAGGGTATGATACAATATGGTACAGTACAATATGATACAATCAGATGAGAAACAATATAGTTAGATATGATATAATACAAGTCAGTGCAATATGATCTCATAACATTAGTCTTCATTTACAACTTCTCTTGAGCTTACATTACTGGTACTGCCTCACCAGTTCAAGTTAATTTCAACTAAACAGCTCATATTGATCACAACTACTGACTTAACATATTCTGCAATACCCAAACTACACATTTCACATTAAGAATAAGAATGAGAAGCACTTTATTGATCCCCGAAGGGAAATTCAATTGTCCGTCGTCTCACATAATATGTCTATGAAAGTTATCCATTATTCACATGTATGTATTTATGTACTAACGTTTTGTGAAAAGACACCATGAAGTAATGCACGACTCCTACAACCCTTAAAATCACACTAAGATATTAGCTTTAGCCACAAAAGAGATGGGGTATGAGTAGAAAAACACAATTATGTTAAGCAGCCCATAGGCTATGGTAACAGTAACTAATATTAAGTGTCACATTAATTCTGCCCTTGAAGTAATTTCGGTCAACATCCATGAGGTGACAGATTAATTTCCAGATTTAAATACAGGTCCGTCTGTGCTGTTTGGGGGAGGTTTGCACAGCAAAGAGTCTGTTGTCTCTCTCTCACCCAAGTTGCTCCGAGGTCAACCTCAGATTAACTAACGTGATGTATCCCCGCTGCCACGATGCATTACCACTCACATTGTTCTCCGGGTCGACTCACAAGGCAGCCATTGCATTCAATTACACCCTCAACTTTTCTTTTTAATTAAACGTACAGGCAGATTAATTATAGGACAACTTAAATGATGAAAAAATTAGAGGTGTCCTGAAACATTGTGTTTGCTGTGGATCTCCCGGCCTCCTCTGTGGCCCCTCCAGCCCTGAAGCTGTCACACATGCTGTTCAATAAGCAATCTGGTAGGGAGGCGTGCAAACGAGTGGAGTTGTGCCGGGCAGTTTGTTTCTGTTTGCCAGACAGGTTCGATTCTTTAAGAGACACGGCCCACAAAGCCAGACACCCAGGGCCGGAGGCTGGGTAAAAACTAATTATGGCGGTGTTAAAAGGCAAGCTCAATGAGGCACAGAAAAGACAGCCAGACTCACTGCACCTTTGGCTTAAGCTCTGCAGGCCATCCCTGGGAGTAGGTGGGATTTAAGAAATCTGGTTTGTTTGAAGAATCCTAGTCCCAAAATTAGCATCTTGGCTTTGAGGACTGAGCTGTATGTAGTTTAAAGGAACTCTAAGTGACTTAAGAATGATTGGGTTTTCAAATAGTCTTTGTCTTTGTTCACCATCTTACTTTTGTAACCAGATTTGGACCACCTTTACCATCTGCATCTTGGTAGATATTTGCCTTAAGCGTGGTACACACATAAGGATTTTTTAAATTTGAAGAGCACACCACACACAAGACGATTCTGTTCCACCACCGATCTAGAATCTAGTCCTCCAAGACAGAAATCTCGCGTGATAAAACGTGATCTAACAAAAACGAAGAAGAAACATAGCAACAACCGGGAAACACAAGACGCAACATGGAAGAGGACACACAAGAGGAGAGAATGATGGTGGTTTTAGGAGTATTTTTGACCGTGGTAAAAATCCCAGACACAGCGTGAACGCGGACTTTATAGTCTACTGAGTGAGCTAGAGGTGAGTTGTTCTCAAATTAAGCTAACAGCTGGTGTGATTATCCTAGTAACACATATAAATAGGCCATGCTTGATTTTTATTCGCTTTATTTGGTTCCTTGTTCCTCAGTCGGCTCGCTTCTTGATTGGCTACATTCCGTTTCACGTGACAATTCATGGAGTCATGACTCGGGAGTCGTCGGCTTTCCCCGCACGTGAAGATTTTTGGTCGTAAATATTGAATAAGTTTGATATTTACGATTGTAGGCCCCGACCTGTTTTGGACCCAATTATCAGGACAAAAATAATCTTAGAAGACATAAGATAATCTTCCGATTGTCATCCTTGGTAGGGAAGGGGGAAATTCGGGACAAAAACAGCCCGGTTATATTTACGTGTGTACCCCGCTTTAACGGGACCAATACCTCTGACATCATGCTATATTAAACAAGACCAGAAACTAGCAAGTGCAAACATGTCAAAACGTTTGCTTAGAAATCAAGAAAAAGGTAACCACATTTTGCTCGTTTGACTTTCGTAGAATCTGACAGATTTTGGCAAAAAGTGGAGTGCCCCCTACTGGCCAAAAGAAAGAATGCAGGTCTTCAGCATTTTCTTAATGGAGCCAAATACTGGATCAACTTTGTATTATAAATATTCGTGTTGTATTGACTGAATGTACATCATTAGGTTGATTTAATTATTGATATCTTTCTCCACATGGGCAGCGTCAAACTTTACTAAAAAACCAAAGTTCCGTACATTGCTAATCCCCGAACACTGATCCCGTGCGATGCTTAATTCTGATTGTTCTCTATTCTTTTTGCACAAGTTTGAATTTTCGCTGTAACTACAAGAAAATGCGAAATCAGCCTCTCTAGAACATCCCTACTCCTCATCTGTGCCTCGAATCCTCCAAGTTGTCGCATCAGACAGAAAAATGCTGATACATCCATTCTCGTATCGATTCCGATTGATTTTCATTCACCGGAGAAGAATACCAGTGCCAGGACATCATTTCGGACTCTCAGATGTCTACTCGAGACCAAAGTAGACAGATATCCATCACGGGGTCCAGATAATCTTTGTGATAGAGCTGGTCTATATCTGGAAGACGGCAGAGGGCCTTTGGAAAGGAAGAAAAACGGATATATGGGTATCAAATGAAGGCATTAGGCTGAGAGTGACACAAACATGTTATGAGAGATGAGTAACATCTGGTGCAATAGATCTTATCCTCAATCGCCGGTCATTACTTTGAGTTCTGATGCAGCCCCACTGCTCTACTTGTGATACTAATCTTGGCCCTAATTCCCATGTATCCCTTGGCTTAATGGGCTCTTTAGAGTATTAACATTTTACTTTCTATACTTCTTTACCCAATGTTTCTCTTCAGCACAGTTGCAGCTCTGAGCAATTTGTTAATGCCCATTTAGTGCAGATTTCCAATTGTTTGCTTTGTATAAGTAGCATTACGGGGGATTTTCAGAAGACATCTTGTGTGAATTTAGGTATTAATTCTAAATCGTCAAAAACGAGAAAAACAAAGGAATTAAGTGAGATTTCGGTATTATTGCTTTTTAACAGTTTCACTTTCATGCAAATGATAGATGCGTCGCTGCCGAGGACTGCTTGGGGTGTTTGTTATTCCGGGCGGATGTCTCTAAGGGATTTATAAAGTGCATTATTTTGCTCCCTTTCAAAACTGGTGGAATTCGAGAGAGAAAAGGCAGAGAGCAATACGAGGGGGTTAGAGAGGTGGTTGAAACTGCCTTCGACAAAATGAGCACGGCCCCTGAACTAAACCCTTGGGATTGAAAGTGGATTGAATGCATCTCACCATATATAGACAGCCAGTGGCACCGCGGGGACAGTGATAGGGGAGAGAGAGAGAAAAAGAGAGAGAGAGGGAGGGGAGTTGGAGTGAGTCAAACGAGTGGGATGAGGATGAAGAAAAGGAGCAGCGGGGAGAGAGAAAAAGAGCAGTGGTGTGTTACCAGCTGACCACTGGAGCCTTTCAAACCCCCACTCCTCTCCCATTATACCATTACTGAGACTAAGGGTCCTGTTGTCACCCAACCGTACGGCGTTCTGGTAGAGCGCCAAGCCCTGCTGAGTGTCCCACCACCTCGCCGCACCAGCAACGCCAGAGATGGACCCAATTGGAAGAGCCAGACTAATTCCTGGATGACAAGAGCAAGAGGGCGCTGGGTTCCTAGGGGTTAAAATGCCTTAATCTTTTTATCCTGTGCTAGAGAGGACTATTCACAGATTTGATACACTCACACTAAATCCTTAAGTGGCATGCCAGGGCAAGGCCGTGGGGAATCCCACACAAACAGATGAATCCTGGCAGACAGCCAAGGTTAGTGGAGCTATGAAACATCAGAAAAAGGGTGTAAGGTCCATAAAGTACGTTATAATATTTTCCTTGTAGCGTGAAGTCTATAAGCTTTTCAGAATGGTGTCATCTTTTTGATTAATCCTTAACTTGAAGTGCATTTTCTTGATGAAACTGCTGCTTTATCGAATGCAAAATAGACACTTTTTCCTCGTCAGCCTTCAAGCATCTATATTCCATCCTCTTCCTCGCTCTTTCTTGCTACTCTCCAGCATACTCACGCACACCCTCAGCATCCCCAGTTCCCTAATGAGGCGTGATCACTGTGTTAAACTGCTAATTAAAATCAGATATTAAAGCCCACTACCCATAATCCCTCTTGGCTTGCGCTACAAACACCAGCCTGGCTGTCGCCTGGTATTACGCTCCGACGAATCCCATCCCAGGCAGCGGGGGCAACAAGTAGCTCGCCTCACCTTCACAGAGCAGCCCGTGCATCAATCAGCAGATAAACTCTGTAATATGGGCCATCACCAGGCAAAGCAAACTTTGATTTCCCCGTCTCATTTGTGGTGTGACCCAGTTGCGGTCCCACCAAAGGTGCAAATGAGGATCTGCCAAAGTAAACAGATTACATAAAACATGTTTGAGACATATGGTGCATGTCAGCATTGTACATATTTGAACAGGGAGGCTCTAATTTGAACAAAATGGGGGCGACATGTCAGTGAATACACTGATTCTGTCTATGAGGGATCTGGCTTTCACAGAACAGCTGGCAGGTTATTATGGAGCGTACACTAATGATCAGGCATGCAAAATTGATGAGTCATTGATCTAAGGCAATCATTGGATGTCTGGTTGTGCTCTCACACTGGATATTCCCTCCAAAGCGAGGGTCTAAGACCTGGAGCGCCACAATATGAATATTTGGATATTAGCCTTATTTTGGCAGCTGCAGGGCTAATGCTTTTTAAAGTCAACACCCTGTTGGTTCTTGCATGAATCATTTGAACTTTACCCGCTAATTAATGCCAACACCAACCTAATTAGACTTTAGAGCCCTTTGCCACCTGACTTCAAAACAGAATGCCAAACAGTGGCGCCTTTAAGGGGTGGCCAGGGGGCGATGACCACCCCTGTGATCAAATAAGAAGCTGGTTATTGCAAATCAGACATCCAAGTGTTACCATCGGATACATCGTTCATTCGCTCACACAGGCACACCTTGGTGGTGGTAAACTACTGGGGCAAATTGATGGAAAAGTGGCTGCCAGTTTGCGCTTCCGACCACCACCACACAACACTCACATTCATACACCAGTGGAGGACACACACACACTGGGAGCAAGGTGGGTTAAGTGTCTTGCCCAAGGACACAACGGACAGACTAGGGATAGGATGGGGCTCGAACCGCCAACCTTCCAGTTATTGGCCGACCGCTCTACCTCCTGAGCTACTGCCGCCCCCATGAATGCAACTGTGTCGTCCGCGTGTCGGTTAAAGCAGCATAAAAGGGCGATTGGTTTCACAGAGGTTCATTTCACCCTTTCATTGACAGCAGCCACCAACCCTCCATCAGCTTCTGAGCTGTTTCCCAGCAGAATTCAACTCCACATCAATATATTCATCCAGAAAACATGATCGAAAACTGGCAATGAGCAGCTCCCGCCACAGTAAGGTCATATTTTGACATGTTGTGGAGCAAACCAAGCTGTCCCTTTTGATGGCTTGGCAGTGAGGAAAGATTGGAAATGCACCTTTAATACCCAGCATGTTCACGGGGAATGGTATTTCTTTGGTCGGTTGGAAATAGAACACGGACGCTATCCCAAGAAAAATATCTGTGCAAATCAAACATGCTGGTGTTAAATATATAGGGTATATATATGCAGTTGATACAGTTCATTTTCCGCCCTCATCCTACCTCTGAATTTCCTCAGCTCCAGAAAAAAGCATTTTGCCACCAATTTCCAATTAATATTCTCCGCTGTAGAATGGTCAGGACCTCAGTGATCTTCCGTCTCCTCTGTTCGGGCGATGCAGAGCCAAAGGCTCAGCTCCAAACAAACTCAGGTCTCCACGGTGGAGAGTAGGGGTGA